CTTAAAAAAGTTAATAAAAATGTGTATGAAAGAAAAACTAGTATGCCACTATAGTACTTAGATTTTCCACACAAAAAGTTCTACTTAAATGCTGGTCTCGGCCTTTTTCGGAGTCGTGGGCATGGGCGAGACATCGCTCTCATCCATGTCAACAAAATCCTACATGACATGACGAAGAGATCGGCGACCTATAGCGTGCTCTGAATGATTGATAGCCGCTAATATGGGATCACATGATATACATAGCTTATGCTTAGCTATGATCCAACGACAGCGGCTGGGACGACGAATCCGAGATGTGCGGCGGGGGCCGGAGCACCATGGCCGGCGGAGTGGCGGCCCTGCATGGATGGCAGCGGGGGCGGCTCCTCTTGTGAGATCCAACGACAGCGGCTAGGACGGCGAATCCGGGCTGTGCGGCGGGGGCCGGAGCACCATCGCCGGCGGAGTGGCGGCCCTGCATGGATGGCGGCGGTAGCGGCGCCACATCTGGCGGGGTGGGCGATCCTGGTCGTGATGGTGAATGCGGTCACTGCGGATCCAATGCCCCGTTTGGATCCGTCGCGGGGAGGCCTTCCGCCGACCGGCGGCGCGTGGAGGGACCGGTGAGGAGATGCCGGATCTCCGCCGGAGTACCGACGGCGACATACATCTTCATGGCGAGGTTCCGCTCGGTTTAAGCCAACCGCGAGGTCGGGAAGACGTGGCTTCCGGTGAAAACCGCGCCTTACTGCGGTCTTGGCGGATGATGGCGGCGTCTCAGACGTCGTTCCCTTCTGGAGGCATCGTCGTTGCAGGTCACATCAACCTGATTGGGAAGTTCCGGGGGAAACCCTAGATCTGGGTCTACCGGATCGGACGATGACGGTGCCTTCGGTATCGTTCTCCCTCATGGGGCCATCGTTTTGGAGCAAGTGCTGGTTGGAGGGGACAAGAGGAGGAGCGGTGATTCATCTGGTCCATTGATGACGGCGGACCTCGGCGGCGTGGCGCAGTGGAGATCCGGCGCCTGATGTGCGGAGATGGACTCGCGCAGGAGGGTGACGCTGCCTGGCGTCGTGGTGGCGTCGGCGGCAGCTAGACCGGGCAAGGTTGATGCAGCAGTACAGCTCTGAAGATGGATTGGTGGCAGGTGGCTGCGGCGGCATCAGACCCGGCAGGCGTCCTGGTTGAGAAGTGCGCCGGACTGGTAGGTGACCCATACCCGGCAGGCGTCCTGGTTGGGACCTCAGGTCTTAGATGTTAGGTTTGGCTGCGAGGTCTGTTTGGTACTAGGGCCAGACTATCAGCATCTCTTCATCACTTGGATAAGAGTAGCGACACTTTTGTTGCCTAGACGGTGGTTTCAGTCTTACTGTTGTATGACTTTGTATGGTCTTGTGTGAATAATTAATAAAGTGGCTGCATGCATCGTCGAGATGCGGAGGCCGGGGTCCTCCTCCATATATATATATATAGAGTACGTACTCCCGCTCCTCATATACCACATAGATGAATCTTTTATACCTCTTTATTATTTTTAAGATACTTCATTATTAACTACTAGATACCTTAAAATGATTTTCATGAAAAAAATTATGTGAGTCTACATATTTTTAAAGGTTTACATATACACTGATTTGTTCGTATGTGAAAAAGGTATATTGCAAAAAGTACGTCAAAAATGATATTTTTTTCCACAAAACTCGTATTGGGGTATCCTAGAATATTTAGTGAAGTATATTGAGAATGATAAAAAGGTATAATTAATGTGTCTACAGGGTGTATTGAAGATGGGAGTACATACTCCCGGGAGTATAGAAAATTAGTCCCAAGGCATACATGAAATGCTCTCTCCATCGAACCTTTCTAGCTTAGATTTGACTAAACTGAAAAGCCAACTTAACTAAAAGACTGCTAGTTAGTTAACAAAGCTCCTTTTCTAGAAAAAAAGTTAGTTAACAAAGCTCCGATTGAGCGTATGCAAATGCATCGAACGGTATCTGAAACCCTATCTAGTGGTAATTAACTTAGTTATACTAATTTGGTTTGACTAAGGTGAACATATTAACTAAGACTAGTTAAAAGGCTCTGCCGTTGATCGTGCCCATGCAATGAACGGTATCCGAAACCCTAGCTATCTATCCAGGTTAACCAGCAAGCAGGATGCCTAAAGACATTAGTACTATTTTCAATGGCGCTCAGTCGATTGCTCTGAATGGCCATTGAAATGTTATTTTGTGTGGGCAAGGCATCTGTTACCCATAGTTTTCGAATGCCGGGTAGAGCTAATGATGTACTCCCTCTGTTCGAAAATACTTGTCATCAAAATAAATAAAAGAGAATGTATCTAGATATATTTTAATTTTAGATACATTCCTTTTTGTTCATTTTGATGACAAGTTTTTTCGGACAGAGAGAGTAGTAGATTCACGATGTCACGCACTCACTCGCACTACCCTAGGTTTGAGGTTGATGAGGTCATCACATCACATGCCTCTCGTTGTTGATCGGAAATATCGCCTCTTGTGAAAGTCATCATCTGACTTAATGAGAGACACACAGTGTGCTTGATGATCTCTAGTGGGCATTTTTCTACGTTAAACAACATGTCAATTACATCT